AAAAAAAAAAAATAAAAATGAAGAACTTGAACGAACAAATCAAGAGAAGAGAGCCTACCGTGTTTTGCTTCTGGTTTGATCGTGAGTTTGTCTCTCTTTATATAGAAGAAGTCTCATGAGGATTTAAGGAAATTTCGTCTTCTAATACGAGGAGGAATTGGCCTGGATGCTGGACGCATGTTTGAAGTTGGAAAGAAAATATTATGTAAGTTCTGTGTCTGTATCTGTGGGGTTTTATCTGCTTGGAAACTAAATATTTCAATTCCAAGATTGAAATTAATTGCTGCTCAGGCGTATAAATTTTCGTGGCCAGCGTGCATGTGTTTTGAATACACTTGGAAAGTACTTGTTTGCTCCATCTGCCATATGGGTCGATTTTGTGCAAATAACTGTGCATATTTGATCAAATTGGAATAGGTCTGTGAGTATTTGGGAAAGAATGGGCAAGTGCCAAAATTCTACTAGTGAAAAATGGACTATAATAGATTGAAGAAAAGTTGGGCCGCAGGAGTTGAAAGTTGATGCAGAATTTTGTAGTAATGGCTGGGCTCCAAAGCCCAATGTAGGCAATACTCATTAAAAACAAATATGGTTCAATAAATTAAGGGCCCAAGCATTGAGGTGATGTTGTGGGCCTTACATCATCTCTTATGTCAATTTGTTCGAGCCATATAATTTGTACAAAGACCCCAAGATATCGCGACTCATTCACTTCAAAACACGTCGTACGTGAACCAGTCTCGATGGGGCATTTGTAGATGCATAAAATTTGTGGCCAATCAAATGGCGCCACGTAGAAATTAATTTAATAAAAATCAAGTCATATTTTCTATTTATATTTTAGGAATTTCCATAAATTTAATTCCTAAATTTAAATAGTTAATTAATTGATATTTTAATATTTTAATTCTTGACCAATCAAATAATACCAGTGTCAAATCTTTATTTTTGGTAAATAAATCAAATATCTTCTAGAATATCTTGGAATATCTAAGTAAATCTAGAAGATCTCATGTGAATCATCATGGACCAATCAAATTGCGTCCTACGATTCTTAATTTTGGTAGGGTCCTCTCCCCTACACCTATAAATAGGGGCTCTCCCTAATGTCAGAGACACACATCATAATTCATATTCAAGTTCAAGAGCTCTAGAGAATTCTCTCTACGAAATTCAAGTGTTCTTGAAGATTCAAAGCCGTTCTTGAAGATTCGAAAGAAGATTCAAGCAAGTTCAAGCTCAAAACCGACGTTTAATCCGGAAACAAGCTGTCAAGCCTCCGAATTGCGTTCATATTCAAGTTCAAGATCAAGATCTCTCGACGAGATTCAAGTGTTCATGAAGATTTAAAAGCGTTCTTGAAGATTCAAAGCAAGATTCAAGCGCGTTCAACCTCAAGACTAGCGTTCAATCTGGAAACAAGCTGCGAAGCCTCCGAATAACGTTAGTAAATTCAAAACCGGCGTGAAGAAGATTCGAGATCAACTTTTCGACGAAGACCAAGGATTCGTGTTCTTCGCGTTCTTGAGATATTTTGACGTTTGATCCGGGAAAAAGCTTTCAAGCCCTCGAATTACGTTAAATTCAAGTCAAATCAAGTCAAGGAGAAGATCAAGCCGAAGATTTCGCTCCAAGACTTAAAAATTGTTTGTAAGAAGAATCAGAGGAGAAAATAGAGATTGTAACCCACAATATATTATTTTGATTCGAGAAATTCATTTGAATAATATTTTTCGTGTTTTTAAAATTCAATTCACGAAATTTGTTGTTACAAGGGCAACTGTTTCTTTTTTACAGTAATTTGATATGAAGTCCTGCTTTTAAAGGAAATGTTAATTACATTTCGATCCGGCCCACTGGAGTAGTTGCCCAAGTGGGTTTTTTTACCACATTTTCGCAAGCACACCTACTACACACCCTCATTTTGCGCTTCTTTCGTTTAAGGTATATTGTACCCACAATTGACGTGCGAGTATTTGGTTTGCTCTTACAAAATAAATAAAACAAATGGTCACTGATTGATTATAGCCAACATCCACGGCAGGACCACCAAATTTTTCACACAAAAATACTTTGCATCTGTAACTCTGTTATGCATTTGGGAATAAAATGCCCGGGATTAGCTATTAAACAATCTAAGCAAACGAAGATCGACTTAGAATATACATTAGACAAGCCAACATAAGTGTATCCGAGCAGTTAGAAACTCTCAAAAGCAGCCAAAACAAGAACAAAAACAAAATACGCAGTCAAGGTGACGAGTAAGCCACACTCAGAATCACCACCTATCATAATGTTGTTAAAAGTGATGCACACCCAGAGAAGGTATTCGCGCTCTATAATCATCACCCGGCAGAGGCACCCTTCTCTCATTTTTGTCCTTGAGTGGAGTCGCAAATTCTCGCACCACCAGCGACGCAGAAAGAGGCTCGCTTTTGGTTCTCGAGAACTGGTTGGGACTTTTTTTGCCCTTGTTGCAAGGTTGGTCATCGTCTCTCGAGATGGGCACCAAATGCATGGACTTCATTTTCGTTAGGTTTAACTCTTGGTGGTGGTCGTCATCACACATGTAACCACTGTCCTGCATGGCAAGGTCATCATACTCCTCGTCCGATTTTGTGGATTCCTCGTCCACTGACCCCTCCATCTGATGAGAAACACAACTTGTGCAATTAGTGAGCGAATTAACCTTGAAAACAAGGGAACATAGCCATCTTGAAACAAAAATGAAATGCCTGTTACAAACCTTTTTCTAATTATACTAAACCATGAGAAAATCTTTTACTCCCTCCGTCCCAAAAAACAGTCCACGTTTACATTAATGTGTCCCAAAAAGATGGTACTAACTAGTGAAATGAACAACAAAATAGTCATTGAAAAAAATAAAATTAATTCAGAATACTTTCTACTATCCCACCAGTAAAAAAAGTATTTCCCGAAACCGTGTTGATAGTGCGATAGAACTGTCTCTTAGGCAATGGGGGGAGTACTATAATTAGCAGTTGGAAGACTTATCTCAGAAATCTATTAATATATAATAAGGATTAACATAATTCATTTTTAGAAATAATTTCTCGCCAATTTAATTAATTATTGCCTTAAAATAGTAAATTAACAAAATCTCTATTTATTAGCATACCTTTTTTATCCAATTTTTTTAGGAATACAATAAAAAATATGGAATCAAAATCAAAATAAATCTAAGAAATACACTCACCATACTTAATACACTTAATTTAAGAAATACACTTACCATACGTATTTTAAAAAAAATTTAAAATACAATTTAAAACATTTAATTAATAATTATCAATTAAAGATTCCTTTTAAGAATCAATTATATTTCTAATAATTGTTAGAAATAACTTATATATATATATATATATATATTAGTATTTACGTGAAAGTAACATATATGTTAATCCTATATAATAAGGATTAACATAAATCAAATTTAGTAATTTCCCGCCATTTTCATTAATTATTTTCTAAAAATAGTAAATTAGATTTTTTTCTTTTTTTTTTAATTAATAACATCAATTACTTTTATATTGGTAAACAATAAGGAATCAAAATCCGAATAAATCTCCTATTTTTTCAAACAATTTGGAAATCCGAATAAATCATGATTTTAGAAATTGTGATTTCCAAACAATTTGAAATCCGAATAAATCTCCAAGGAAAATCATGATTTGTATATATCATTATTTTAGAAATCTGTTCAAGATTTTATTTGCATAAATTTGAATCATAATTCATTGAGCCTATTATTATATTATTAAATTGTTTGAAACGGCATGCTAAGATTTGTATATATAAGATTTCTAAAATCATGATTTGTATATATCATCTTTTCACCAATTAGACTTTTTTCTTCATTATCAATTTGAAAAAGGAAAACGAATTTTATATACCTTATCGGTTTTGATAATACAATGTTATAATCATTATCATTATTTATTTTAAAAGATAGTGTTTGTCATTTATTTGATTTCAAAAGATGAAAAAATTTTCATAGTTTAGGTCTCTTTTTATTTATGCATTAAACAATTTAATTTAAAAACTCTAATAACCATTGGCAACAAAATTTGTTATATATTGATTCAAATCAACTAATTAATAAAACAATCCATTAATCACAAAATTAAAAAACAACACACGATCACTACATTTATAAAATTAAGTTTTTTAGATAAACATTCATTTATATTGTCATGACGATAAACAAGAGTGAGTGTCAATCTTAGAAATTCGATGATTTCAACTGCTATATTTCCAATGGTTTTTTTACCGTTGGAATATGCAAATTCCATTAGAATTTTTGTTTCCGCCCCGTTGAAAAATCCACCATTGGAATCGTCAAAATCCAACGGAAATTCGAATGGAAAATTCATTCCAACGAAAATAATAGTATTGAAATATCCGTTGGAATTGTCGTTGGAACAATTTCTTTTGGAATAGATTTCCATTGGAATTTTATTATTTTATTGTAGTGTGCCCAATAATCAAACTAATAATGTTGTTTATAATTAAGTTTTGAATAACATATGATTTTTTCGTACCCAATCATTTTATGAGCATTTTTCGCTCAAAACAGTAATTACCTACTATAGATGGAAATAATATAAAATAATCTAAATAAAAAATAAATCATTAATTGAATAATTTTCATACAACTCGATTTTCGGTTTGTGTTTGTTTTAGTAAATTCTTGGTTTTTTCTTTAATTACGTTAATAGTGGTTTTGTAGGCAAAGATTATGTAAATAATTATATGTAGGCGATTTT